AGTTCCCTGCTCCTTTTCTGTGCCCAGTTCGCAGCCTCCCTCCGGGACTTCAAACCACTTTTGCTCTCCAGCCCTTTTCCAAACGGGCTGAATCAAAGTTTCCATTCGTTATGTAAAAGTTGGCCTCGCTCCCCGGAATGTACGGAGCCTGCACACGGGTTCGCGGAGCAGCCTCGGCAGACCGGAGCGTGTGCAGCACAAGCTGCCCCTTCCCACCCGAGCCAACCGATGCATGGCCATGGTGGGGTAGGGAGCAGTTAGCTTTAGTGCAGGGATGGGGAATTTAAGGCCTAGATGTGGCCCTGGCTGGCCTGGATCTGGCCCCCTGAGGCTCGGGACTCCCCGGGGGGGGGTCTGTGCTGTCACTCCAGCCCCCTGCCAGGGCTAGAGCACACAAAATATACTGTCCTAGGCTTCCCTCCGCTCCGGTGTGTTCACTTCTGCGTGATTTTTTTTCCTATGGCTCCCTGGACCCACAAAAGGTTCCCCACTCCTGCTTTAAAGCCTGATTTAAAAATGCCTTCTCCCCTAATCTGCACCGCTCCTCCGGCTTCCCAGGTGACCTTCCCTACCTCAGCCCTCCGCCAAGCCACATAGCTGATGTGGAAAAAGGGAATAAAGAAAAATTGTTCCCCTAAGAACTAGGGGTTACCAAAGGAAATGAATAGACAGCAGGTTTAAAACAAACAAAAGGACGTTTTTCTTCACGCAGCCATAGTCAACCTGTGGAACTCCTCGCCAGAGGATGTTGTGAAGGCCAGAATTTTAACAAGGTTCAAAAAGGAACTAGATAGATTCATGGAGGATAGGTCCATCCAGGCTATTAGCCAGGATGGGTAGGAATGGCGTCTCTAGCCTCTGGGCTAGATGGATCTTTGGTCTGACCCACTATGGCCGTTCTTATAAGCCCCATCACTTCCCAGCCGCAGCCATTTATCAGCATCGATCTTTGTTCTCAAATGGCCATGTGTAGGACACAGTGTTTTTCAGCCCGCCTTGTTATTGTAGGGTGGCACATGAGTGGTGGGTTTTGCTCGCTGGTTGATCCTAGGGGTGCCCACAGGACTGTGTGCCAGGCTGTGTCCATTGGCTCGTTAGTGTAGGGTTGCATATAAGCGTTGGGGGTTTTTACTGGCAGTTGTTCAGGGTGCTAGCCTGTGGACCTTGGTTTGTTATTGTAGGGTCTCCTATGATGCATGCTGGGCTACACTCGCAGCTTTGTTATCGGCTGGCTGGCTGAGCTGCAGACATGTTAAGTGGTCCCCAAACAGGAACTTCACCCCCATCCCCTTGTGCCCCCCACCCTTCCCCCGTGCCCTAAGGGAGAACGTCCCATCCGGGAGGACCCAGACGGCTTTTGCTGGGGCGACCTGGATGACATCCCACATTCTGCGTGTGGCCCCTCCCTGCTCCGAAGGCCTGACCCGGGCCAGACGACGTGTCCGGACCAGCGGCTGCCTTTGCTAACGGCGTCCGGGGCCATCCGGCCGGACGACACAGCCGGCTCTGCAGTGCTGGGACCCCCTCCCCGCGGGCCGGCTGGGCCGCAGAGCAATGCGACAGCTTGTCCGGCTGCCGTTCGCCCAGCTCCCTCGCTACCCGGGTTGGTAACCACAACAAACTCCTCCCCTGCCCGGCCCTCCACTTCTATTTATACCCGCCAGGTCGGAGCCGGTGGCGGGCGGGCCGCCAAGAGGACAGCTGCACCTTTCTCCCTGCGCGCTGGGTGCCCCCGGCAAGATGGCCAGCGAGCCAAAGCGGGGCCCACGCAGGACCCCTGCCTCATGCCAGAGCCCTCCCCCCGGGCGTCTCAGCGGCCAGACCTGCCAGCGCCAACTGGGGGCAAGCACAGCACCGCCGGAGCACTGAGGCAGGCTGATGCCGGCTGGGGAATGGGTTTAGCGGCAGCATGTCCTCTCCCGGTGGGGTCCAAATCCCCTTCAGGATGTGGGGTCCAACTGGGCCAGATCTCGGGGTGCTCTCAGGACGGGCCTGTCCCCCCTCCCTAGGTAAGCTCCGGCTCTGGGGGAGTCTCGCCTGCCCCCACCAGAGCCACAGCTGCACCCGGCGCTGAATGCGACTCCCCAGCGGGGCTGCAGCTGGCTGTCTGCACCAGCTAGGCAGGAGATGGCAAACTGCCCGTCGCCCCAGCCCCGTGGGAACCCAGGCAGGGCCCTTCCATGCCGGGGCCTGGAGCAAAGCTTCTGTCCTGTTCCCACCTGGGCTATACAAGGCCTAAGGGGCCTCATTACACAAGCACGAGCTCCAGCCCCCCTCCTTCTCCTCCGCGGGGCTGCAGCTGGCTGTCTGCACCAGCTAGGCAGGAGATGGCAAACTGCCCGTCGCCCCAGCCCCGTGGGAACCCAGGCAGGGCCCTTCCATGCCGGGGCCTGGAGCAAAGCTTCTGTCCTGTTCCCACCTGGGCTATACAAGGCCTAAGGGGCCTCATTACACAAGCACGAGCTCCAGCCCCCCTCCTTCTCCTCCGCCCCATGGCTCTCTCCTTGGCAGGCTGGTTCGGCCCTTCCCCCTCTCCGTCCTAACATTTTATCCCCGTGGGAACCCAGGCAGGGCCCTTCCATGCCGGGGCCTGGAGCAAAGCTTCTGTCCTGTTCCCACCTGGGCTATACAAGGCCTAAGGGGCCTCATTACACAAGCACGAGCTCCAGCCCCCCTCCTTCTCCTCCGCCCCATGGCTCTCTCCTTGGCAGGCTGGTTCGGCCCTTCCCCCTCTCCGTCCTAACATTTTATCC